CCTGCAGTCTTTAATGCGTTACTTTTAATAAGTTGTATCACTCGACTATCAGGCCGCTCGTGAAAGTTGGTACCATTGGTTCGACGTCGATGGACTGAATGTGGGATTGTAGTTTTCGCGGTGTTATTTATGGGACAAGGAGTGTAGATACTACACCCTTTCTTTCTGAAAGTGCACGCAGCGCCACCTACATTGAGTCAACGTCGCCGCCAGCGCGTCTCGCTGCGTGGCACGACAAGCGCGACGCCTTACTACGCTCAAATTTAAGCTCAGACTGCAGCCAAAACTATACAAGCACGAGCTATTTTTGACACGTGCCTTTCTAGCGGAAGTGCTCGTTTCGTAGACGAACGTTTCGAAGCTTGTATAGCATTAGTTGGCTGCAAGTCTCGGCTAAACAGTGAACGGAGTATAGAATTCGGCCGGTTTGCGGCGACACTCTCGTCGAACTTCAGTGCGTTCGCCGCTTGGGGCGCCGGTCGGGGAGCCACTAACGATGACGTCACGATCAGGCCTTGTCCTCTATGTGATATTGGCTTTGCGTGGAGTGTCTGGTAGTCGTCAAAGCGCTGACACCGGGTTTGCATAGCGGCGAGTATTTTATTTGACGCAGAGGCTCCATAGTTGTTGTGGATTGTGGAGGGCCGAGAGGAAGATCGTATGCGTTTCCCGTGCTTAAAAGGAAGGCGAGCGAGGATTGGTGCGGCTGTTAAAAAACTTTCTGGGAGAGTTTTCTGTTGATGCTGGCTGCCCTTGAAACTTGGAACCTGTCCCGGGGGTTGCCACCGGGACGGATGGCCCGCCGCCACCGCAGTCGCTGAGGCGTCCCCTTGTTGTTTCTTATTACGTTTCTACATTTCGTTTATTTTCCTCCTTTCCCTCTCTTTTTTTCGTCGAGTGTCCCCCCGTTGGCACTGATTGGTTGCCGCCACTGCAAGGGCGGGCCCCGCCCCGTCGACGGTTACGCTCGGACGACGACGTAAGAGAAAGGAAAAATGGTCCCGCCCTTCTCGGCGGTGTCTCTGAAGGTTCTGGTTGGATGACTCTCGACCGAGCGGACTTGGTCCCGCCATCGCGTGCCTGGCGACTCCTCCGGATTTTGTTTTTGCGTCGTTTTTCGTTGCCTGGATCCGTTCACGAGGAGGCATGACTTGCCGTGTAGTGCCCCTGAGTAGGGCTTCTGAATCCCAACCCTAACCCTTGGAAAATGCTCAGAGAACCGTGCGCCAGATTCCTGCGGCTCGGGTCCATATCACATATGAGCGAATGACGTTTTAGCGAATAGCGCCATTTAAGCGAATCGACGTTTGAGCGAATAACGGGGGCGCGCGTTAATTTCCGCGTGCTTCTTCATCTCCGTTGGTCGAGCCACACTTTGTGTTGATATCGACTCACCTAAAAATAAAAAAAAAAAAAAAAATCGTTTGTTATAAAAAAAAGGGTAATTGTCAGCTTACAACTCTAGTCACTGACATGCAGTGAGCACCGCAGGGCGTGGCTATAGCATGTTCCCACGTCTTGCTTCGTGATTGGTTCATCGGGGTTCTTATCGTCCAGTGCCGCAATCCGATTGTGGAGCGTTTCTTCGGCTGCGAGTGAGTGCGTAACAGTCGCAGCCACGCGACGTCGTTCCTACAGTGACGGTCGAGTAATAAGAACGCAGTGCACTAACTCGCTGCGCGGAGCTCACGCCTTGTGCATACATCGTACAGTCTGCAGAGGCTGTCGGAGGCCTTCTCCGTATGGCACTCAAGAAAACCAGCCTGTAGACATGTCCGAACTTGCTCGAAGCGCAGCGAATTCTCTCATCTTGCCTGCTCCGAACACCGCGTCTTTTGTATGACGTACACGAGCAGCCCGACTGCGGCTTTGCTTTTGCCCGCCAAGTATTTCGGGTTCGGGAATCGCCAGCGTGATAGACGACGCTGAACTGAAACAACGCCCTATTCAATCGTCTGCGGATGCGGATCCAATCGTTAGACACTTCCTCCGCCGCGCTTTTCAGGACCGATAGCACTGTACGTGCCACGCGAGTTACGATGGCGATTTAGATCTTTGACGCGCGTTGTAGCGCTCTCGGGGGTGCTCCTCACCGTAACTTGACAAACGGCGAAGGTATACGGTGCCAGTGAGCCAATCAGCGCGTCGGAGGGATACACGTGACTATAATCTGTCTCACCAGTTGGGAGAAAGAGAGAGAGAGAATGAGAGAAAGAGGGGATATTTTCCTTCCTCTCTTCACCAACCACTTGGTTTGTGCTCTCGCCTCTGTACCTGCCGCTCCTTGCCAAGTTACGGCGGAACAAAGTTTGGTCGGATGCCCGTCGAATGAAAGTAAACAGTCCGAGCCGTCGTTCGACTCGTAAAGTATACTTTGTTTCAGCTTCGGTCCGAGCGCGGCCGATGTTATGAGCCAAAGGGCCAATCGAACAGCGCAAAAAGCGCACCGTCATGGCGTGCTCTCTGCGCTTGATAGAACTAGCCGGCGGAGGAGCGCGCACAGAGAGACGGCGAATAGCGGCTGGTCCTATCAACTGCAGAGAGCACGCCATGACGTTGTGCCTCTTTCGCTGTTTGATTGGCCATTCGGCTCATAACATTGGCCGCGCTCGGACCGAAGCTGAAACGAAGTATAGCAACATCTCGTCTAGTCGAAGGATTGCAAACGTCCGCCGAACGTTTCCGGAAATCCCTCGCGGAGATTTCATTTATCGTTCGTCGTGACAGGTTTCGCCCGAAGCCTTTCCCTCCCGTTCGGGGTGCGCACTCGCCCGACCTGCATCCAACGTCCCTGTTCGTTCCGCGGCGGGCGCGCCGTCCTCCGTGCTTTCATATCGATAACGGACTGTCGGGCTTTTATAGCACTTCGCACCGGATCGGGCGGGGGGCGGGAGGTTGAGCCGGGTAAACAAAGGGAGCGGCTGACAGGTGCGCGGGCAGCACAAAACGTTTGTTGCCGTTGGCCGTTTTAGGAAAGCGGTTTGGAACGTCGCCATCGGTACGGGCCTTCCGGGGCTGCACGCATTTGCTCGCTTGGCAACTGGGATTGGCCGGAATCCCTTTTCAAGTGGGATCGCAGCTGAAGCCTCGGATGAAGTAATTTGGCCTTAGTCGAAAAACGCAAGTTTGATCATCTAAAACCGTGGTACTGTTGCTTCATATATACACCGTTGGCGAGCAGTACGTTTTGGCGGTTTCTAGCTCTTCTAGTTCGGGAAAGCACGTCCATAAACTAATACTACCTGTCTCACTAAAGAAAGTTAGTGAAATTTCCATGGAATGACGTTTGTGTGATTGGGCAATGCTGACTACGAGCATCGCGCGTGAAACGCGCTGCGCATTTCTCGGAGCGCGCTGATTGGCCCATCGCTGAAACGTTATTAGATGGAAATGTAATTAACTTTCTCGCGTGACAGAGGTATTAGTCTAACGCCCGTATAGTGGCATAAATATGCAGTAGTTTTCCCAGAGCTCGCCTGCGCCTGCTTGAAGGGCACGCAGCCCTGCTAGAAGTACGCAAAAACCGTATGATATACGCTTGTGCCAAAAAAAAATCGAACAAGATTCTCGATTATCACGCGTGAGCCAAATATTTAAACAATATTCTCGTTTAAAAAAAAAAAAAAAGGTCGACATTATTTTTCGTTCACCGCTATATGTTTTAGGCAGAGTCCATTTTCCGCGCGAGCACAGCCTCCCGAGAAAGAGAGGAGCGTCATTACGAAGAGAAGTTCTCCTGGGTCGACATCTGCGAAGGGACTATTTTTAATCGCGACGTCTAACTCTGCCCCGCTTTTAATTTCCGGTGTCAGGTATCGGCGCAGGAGCGCGCGGTGCCTCTTTGAAGCGGCCAGGTAGCCTCGTTTTTATTTCGGCGTTCGGGCTCTGGGCCTCGTGCCGCCGCCGCTCGGGAGCAGCTAGCCTCCTTTGTTGTTACTAATTGCGGAGGGATCTCGAGCAGCCCGTCAAAACAAACGCAAAAGAGGAACTTTAATCTTTAAATCTCTCAAATTCTTCCCTTATGTTTAGTTTTTGTGTTTTTGTTTTGTCGTACCCGTGCTCGTTCTCGCTCTTTCGTTTTTGCTCTAAGGAACAGAAATATTATTGTTTTTAGAAACTTTTCATTTTTCAAATTGCTAATCTTGGGTTGAGATGGGCTGGAAGGAATGCGACGTACGGGTTTTCTTTTGGTTCGGGGTTTGGATCCCTGCGTGGATTCTGTTCCTCTTCTGATCAGAAGGGAGGCGTCAACGAACGATTAATACACCTTGTTGCATAACTACGTGTTTTCACGAGAGGGTGACTAAACCGGCACGAACGGGAACGCAGGAAATGGCAACCGGCGAACTTGCGGAGTCCTCATCCTGCGCCACTTCCTGTCGTCTACGTTTCTTTTTTGTATTTATGTTCCTTTTCACCCAGGGAACCGCTCGAGCTCCGGCGAACCGCGGACGGGTGATTTAGCTTGTCTGTTCAGGTCGCCGCTTCAGGGATCAAGTTGTGCTCGAGCGAGCTCAAAAATGAAAGAAAAAAGAAACCTTTCGTGCCATGCATTTGCGGTAGCATACACCACGCGGAGACACCATATTACAGGACCTGTACTTACAATTACTTACATACGGCCAAAGGACATTTGTTACCGAGGATGTTCTATATATGACGCGTTTGTCTTCGCTTGTACCTGTACAGGAGTCACACATTCCCTCCACTACAGCTCTACAGAGAACGACACAAAATAAACAACCGTTTGCAAGTCTTTAATTTATATATTTTACACACCTAGCAGTCTTAATACAAACAATAGTGAGATGAAAAGTGATAACTCGCGGCATGAATGTAAGCGGCAACATTTGGTCTTCGCCAGTATAGTTTGAGGTTTCCGTATAAACCGAGAAAGCGCCGATGTTGTATTCGCGCTCGCTGTGTCGCGCATTGTTGATACCCGACCCTATCACGGGTAAACGTTCCCTTTGTCTGACCGACGCGTGCTCTCCTTCCAGGTCCGCCGGCGGGCCAAGCGCGCTGCCTGAACCGCCCATGAGGAGGCCGGTTGCCCGGAGCTGAGGACGGCGCACGAGCCGAGCCCGGCGCGGCGATGCTCGGGCCGCGACGCCGGCACCCGCGGCGGCGTCCGAGCCGCACCGGTCGGGGTTCCCCGTGGCCGTCCCTGTGCGCCCTGCTGGTGCCGGCCGCCCTGCTTCTGCAGGCGGCCACGGCGGCGGTGGTGGCGGCGCCGCCCAGGGGGCCGCGCGACGGCGAGGCGTCGTACGCCAGCTTCAACGAGAGCGTCAACTTCACGCACCTCGTGCTGGACAGGACCACGGGGCGGCTGTACGTGGGCGCCAGCAACTGGCTGTACCAGTTCAACGGCTCGCTGCAGCTCGAGGTCGAGCTGCCCACGGGTCCCGTCCAGGACAACGTGCTCTGCTCGCCGTCCGACTGCGACGGATACGTCACGGCTCCGACCAACAACGTCAACAAGGTATTCGAGCGTTTATCAAAATGCCGAGTCACTGGACTCTGTGCGCATGCGCGACGTCACGTGCAAGCCATGTCTATATTACGTCATCTTCGGGTAAACTTGAAAGTCGACACACTAAGGGGGGCAAAAAGAAACATTATGTTGAAGTTAATGAGTTCACAAAACGCTGTTCCGAGAACTTGCCAGAGTCGGCCATACGGTAGGTTTCTCGATTTCTCAGGAAATCTTAAAATTGATTATAGTTAAACTGATGAATGAATATATGATAGGTTCAGCTCCTTTCACTGCGACAAAAAAGCGCGGAGCTCATTACTACCAACCTTTTAGGCTTTTGCAATTGAAAGATCACTCGAGGAACACGCATATCAAACGAGGTGAGTTCTGGCATCGTGTAATTCCTTACTTCTACTCAAAACGACTCCTCATAAGACTACATTTTGTGACGTTTGTGTATAGCAATTTTCGGGAGCTGTACGCGCGTGCGTTGTAAAAGAGATTCATTTGCAACTCAAAATCTCAAAATAGTGGTCATTCGGATGATTTGAGTAGAACAGGAATGTCTGGCATTCGTATTGCGACGTGTGAGGCTGTAGTTCAAGTTTTATCTTGGCACCGAGGAGGTTTGAGTGAAAAGAAAACCTCTCTGCCTCGGGACCGACCACTCAACAAGTATAGAAATTGTGGTTCTCAAATAAGCGTTGCTGAAAGTTCGAAATCCCGACTGCAATTGGTGGTTTTCAGTGCGTGTCGGTACCTACTACGCCGTCTACGGTATCATATTTTAACTAGCAGGGGCTGTTAATAGTTGTTGCTCTCGCGAACGAGCGAACAGACTTTCTGCCGTAGCCTTTCCGCGCCAAGAAAAAAGCGTCATCGATTTGACGAAGAAAAAAAGTAACAAAATGCATATACCGAAACGTGAAGGAAAGAACAACTGCCAGTGACGACCGATGCAGTGGTGGAACTGCTGCGCCGTTTGCGCCAAACTGCACCAGAACGAAACCCCAGCTACATGCTGCTCCAAAGGTTGTATCTGTGCACGATTGGCGCCATGTCTGCGCCAAAAGGGACCTGTTCTCAGAAAGAAAACTGAGAGTGTCTACGGGGATGAGTTGAGCTAGTTGGTTTTTATACATTACGGGTGGAACTAGCTGAATCATGAGAGAAGGAGAAACAGAAAAGTCAACCGACCGCTGGTTGTTGTCTTTTCTGTTTCTACTTCCCTCATTGTTCAGCTGGTTCCACCCGTAATGAGAGTGTATGGCACATGGCATTCTTGGCGATGCCACTGAAAATTAAGAATGTACCGTTGTTGTTTTTTCGGATACCTATAAGTACTATGTGCGAAGAGTAGGGCTGCGCAAATATTCGAAGTATTAAATACTAGTGTCAAATTACACGCTATTTGATATTCGCTTCAACATTAACTGGAATATTCCAGACATGTACAAATTACTCAAAAAAGGTAATTAAGTTAAGTTACTGAGTATCGACGCCAAAAGTAATTGGAGTAGAGTAGAAATTACGCATTTGTAATAGTAATTGAGTAAACTACTAACTACTCTCAAAAGTAGCGAGTTACTTTGAAGTTACTTTCGAAGTTACCTTTTTATATTTTTGTGGAAGCAAAATGAACAGCAGTTTTGATCAATGAAAAACCCTGCGAGCCTAAAATAAATGCAGTCTATTTATAGCTTGCGTTTTCGCCAAAATAGTTTATTCGCTCGCAGAAGCAATTTACTTTCAAAGTTCTTGATAGGAGAATTTTCCCCTTTTCCTTCTAATAACGTCCCCAGCCAAGCTAAATAGACGTTTCACCGTGGCACTGAATGGAACGGCAGTGTTCAATTTGAGAAACAGGCTGTGCAGGGTCGGGTAAGCGAGTGTCGGCATCTTAGGTGTCCATGGCGAAACATGTGAGGTTTGTCTCGGCTAGAGGGTCTTTTATAAGAAAATCTCCTACTTTTTTCTTCGTCAAGTTGAGATTGTTATGACTGGCCCCTCTTTATTTCGACGTCGTTCTGAGAGTACGCTGAGAGAGTGCACCAGACCGTCAAGGGTTCAAGTCTCGCGCCACGACGATGAGATCATCCGGACGACTGCGCGTTCCGTTGTAGTGCTAGTGCTACGCTACTAAAACAAAAAAATGTTTTGGTTTAACAGAAGATGAACCGAAGTATACTTCGCCGCTGACGCCGGTCCAACAAAAGGATCTCCCAAGGGTAACTCGCACTCCTCGCCGGCGACATACAATATTCTGATGCGCCTGACACGCCTGACAAGTAAATCGTTTTTAACAAAGAGGAGGTCTCCCAGGCATGGATGGTCGGAAGGATGCAAAGGATTACGTGAACAAGCATCGTCGCTCGTATACAGGCGCAGCTGAAAGCGGGAACGTGCTCCCATGAACGGATTATCCGTGCCAGGGTTTGTACGCGGGGGAGACCGGCTTTGCAAAGGCGTATGCGCTGACGACAAGGCGACCATGGGAACAGGCGCCCAGCTGCGAGGTCATTCCAGTGGCGCCTCCCGTGGAACCTACCGCTTGAGTCAGAACTCACTAAAGACAGACAACAACTCTCGGAGTGTCCCCGTCTTTCACGGTTGCAGTTGGAAACGCGGCGCCTGCGTGCATTACCAGATTAGGTCAATACCCGACCAAGGCTTGTTAACCATCTCTTCCTGCGTTCGTGCGTGCCGGTGTCATGTTTCGGCTGCTCGTCGCCACCTTGACCCAAGGACGCATTTCCCGAACAAGGGGGCCCCTTGTTAGGGAATGCCACTTCATCTGCCGGCGTCTTATTCATTTCTGCGCTCAAACTTTCGTGATAGGCAAAATTAGCACTATATAATTTCGAAAGTAGTTAGTAATTTGAGTAGAAGTTACCTGAAAAAGTAGTTAAATTAAACTACTAATTACCCAAATCAAGTTGTAATTGAAAGTTACCAAGTTACTCGAAAAAATAGTTAAATTACAGTAGTTTGAGTAGAGTAGTTGAACTACGTCCAAGTCTGGAATATTCATACTTTTCGAAGCGTTGATCGCGGCTGGTTAGCCCCCTTGAGTGCGCTTCTTCTCGAGCACCGGTGCACTGCGGACAAGCAATACCCACAGAGCTGACACCGCGATCTTGCGACTCGCTTCGCCGCAGCACAGCCGCGCACTTAGGCGAAAGACACACCTTCGAAGTGCTATAACGCACGCGCACGTTTAATGTAATAAAAACAACAACAACACGTTGTGATTGTTTATATTTCCATTGAAGTAAAATATTCAAAATTTAACTGTGGCTTTTATGCAAGGATGTATGTTAGGCAATGATGTTTTTACAACCTGTGCTCATTACTTGTGCTTGTTTCGTTTTAATTCAGAATTGAAGAAAATATTTTCATGTAACAAGAACATCGATAAATCCCCTCAATTAGGTGTTGGGGAGTACCCTTATAGGTTTAATTTTATATCAAATCTGCCATTTACGTGCCATCCTAATGTAGGCATTGGACTGTCTGAGACCACAGTCAATAAATACAGCTAGATCAAATTTAACAGAGCTTATAAGTGGGCATTTAGATTCTTAGAACAACCTTTGCGAATTCAGTTCAAATTTTGTTTAAGCATGATGTAACGCTAGTGAAAGGTATGGACAAAGGCACGCAAACTATTCAATATTATATTTAAAAAATTCGGCCGAAACCACAATTCATTTTGAATTTGCTTCGAACCCAAAATCCATTATTTGCACATGCTTAACGAAGAGTTATCGGTTTTAGTGCGAACGGTGCTCACATCAATCGCAATGAATAGCTATAGCGGTACCAGCTCGCCTGCGCCCTAACTGTTTTTTCACTTGTGATCAGTTAGAGTAGCTATGTGCTCCGCTTAGCTGCTCCATGAACAGTAGCAGTTTGAATGCGAGTGAGGGCAGCGAGAGACACAATCAAAACAAAAGTGTCCGTTTGATGATGAACTCGCGACAATTACCTCACCGTGATACAAACCCTACAAAGTAGCCAAAAACATTTTTTTTTACGTCAAACACAAGCCGAAGACGCCATGGGTACTCCTGATAGGTTTATTGAGACAACTGGAAAATTACCGTTGTATGATGTTTCAATAAATAAATAAGTATATGTCGTGGGCCTGGTCCCCTGTAAGTATAATGCCTTAAATAGTCTCCCAACACTCAAACAACTTAAGTTTTTTTTCTTTTTTCCACAGGCTAACCTTTAAAGAGATTGTATGCATTTTTTTTTTTTATGAAAGCTCAAAATTGTTTGCTCCGAAAGTGGGAATCTGTGCTCCAAAACACGTTGTTCCCTGCTACAAGAGCTGCTCCAAATCACCACTTGTCAGTTCCACCATTGCGCGATGGTATTTTATATTTTGGCTTTTGTTTAGGTTGAATGTTAATCTACGGTTTATGTAGAAGCGAATTTTACTTTAACGTGACGTTTGTGTGATCTTTTAATAAATCTTAATTGTATTTCCTGTACTTGCTAACCGTCCGACGTTACCATTTAGCCCACAGTTCCTGGATATGAGCCCTTTTGAGAGTGAGGGCCGCAGCCGGCTTTTCAACATTTGCCAAAAGGCTAACAGTCGATTGACCGTTTCCTCCCAGGTGCTGCTAGTGGACTCGGTGGACCAGAAGCTCCTAGTGTGCGGCAGCGTCCGGCAGGGCGCCTGTCGGCGGCACTCCCTCGCCGACATCTCCCAGAAGGAGCCCCTGGTGCCGACGCCGGTGGCGGCCAACGACGAGAACTCGTCCACCTTCGCCCTGATCGGGCCGTCGCACTACTACGGACACGACTCGCGCGCCCTCTACGTGGCCACCACCAACAGCCGCCTGGGGCCCTACCGGGACATGGTGCCGGCCATCTGCACCCGGAGCCTCAACCCGAACGCCGAACCCTTCCGAATCATCGAGCAGTCCTTCTTGGCCACGGCCCGGGTGGACATCGCCAACCACATCAAGGACTACTATCTCGTCCACTACGTGTACGGCTTCCACACGGAGGACTACGTCTATTTCGCCACCGTCCAGCGGAAGAGCCATCTGAGGGCCTCCGAAGAGCTGGGCTACTTCAGCCGACTGGCTCGCGTGTGCACGTCGGACCCCGCGTACAACACGTACACCGAAGTGACGCTCCAGTGTCTGGGCCCCGACGGTACGGACTACAACCTGCTGCAGGACGCCGTGGTGTTCGAGGCCGGCGACGACCTGAGTCGGGATCTGAGGCTAGGCCTTCGCGAGAGGAGAGTGCTCGCCGCGGTGTTCGCGCAGAGCAAGGATCACACCACTCGGACGGGGCGTCGCGCGGCCTTGTGCCTGTACGCGCTGCGCGATGTGGAGCGCCGCTTCACCGAGAACATCCACATGTGCTACAACGGCAGTGTGCTCACGCGCAATATGGATTACATCGCGGGAAGTGTGCAGAGCTGCCCGGAGCCTGGGGTGAGTTGAGACCTGTTTCTTTTTTTCCTTTTCTTTCTTGTTTTGCGTGTTTCTTTGTTTGCTTTTCGAGGTGCGCTGTTTTGTTCGGCCTGCAGTAGGCGCCTGGACAGGAGGCAACCTGCGATCGTGCGTGAAGACTGCGTGCGGAAAAACGAGCCGACTATTACGGGACATGTTCAAAACTAAATGCTCAAGCCATTGATTAAAAACAAGAAAAACGTACAGCGCGTTTGATGATGTCCGCTGACGTCAAGTTCATGTCCCTTTCGATATGTAGCTGTAATAATAGTCTTCAAGGAGGAAATTATTGCAGCTCTCTGTGTCTGCGGACTTCAGCCATCATTTCTTTTGTTGTTGTTAATTTTAGAAGATGTTCCTTGCTGAGATTATTTGGACATTATTTTAGCAAGTTCGTTCCGCATGCAAGGGGTGCAATTCCACGTCACCATAACTCCAATACACAAAAACCTATTCGTAGAAAGCAAAAAAAAAAAAAAAGAAGAAAAAAAAATATATATATACGTGAGAAAGAGGGGGCCATCCAATGTTGTTTGGAAATAATTCGGATATTGGGATTTTGCTTTCGAGTGAATTGTCTATTGGGTTGAGGGTTCTCGTGATTTTGCGTTCTGATACAAACTGAACCGCAAGTGAATAATCATTCGTCGAGTAATTAAAGAACCGAATCCGAGTCTTTTTCCAGCCGAACGAGTCCTGTCGACGGCAAGAGCGTTTTCCAGAAGTGTGAACAACACTTCTGGAAAACGCTCTTGCCGTCGACCGGACTCGCTCGGCGGGACAAAGACCGCGCTGTTCCTATTTGTTGTCTCTTGCCGTGCGCGCACGGTTCCGCTTTTTCACTAGTTTAAGCCAAGAGTTCACGCCGGAGCCGCTCGGAGGTTTGCGAATAGAACAATGCTTCCCGATCGCACGTGCCATGCAAGGAAACGATGAAGGCTCGTCTCTGTTTCGATAACCGCGAAACACGGGTGCAGTGAACGGCAGAACTACCAACGGACACTGGAGCGAAAGCAACAGGCGTTTCGAAAACAGCCCCTCTCGGCCCGCCGCGCGTCAGTTTAAAGAAATGCTTTCGCAGGTGTCCTCTTGCTTCAACACTCTACCGCTACGCGATAGAGAGTAGGTTAACAGACCGCCCGACAATACAGGGCGTTTTTGTTTTTTTTAAGGGACCGTTCCGACAGCTCTGATAAACTACCCGATACACCGCTTATCAGACGCGTATACGAGGGGGGGGGGGGGGGGGGGTGTTCAGGTTTCAGAACACCCCCCGAAATTTTACTTTATTATATATATATTTTTTTCTTTGTGTGTGTGTGATTGCATTAACACCTTGAAACACCACCCCGAAAACATTTTCTGGCCACGCCACTGCCGCTGATGCCTTTGCACATGCGGAGTATCGTTACCGCAGGTATCCGAACATCTACTAACTCTTATCTAGTCTCTCAACAATATAAATAAATTTAAAAAAGCACGTGCAAGTGGAAGTTAATATTTATAAGTACCGCTCACGGCTAATTCTGCGTCAGTTTTCTTCCACGTATACTTGTGCGCACTGCCCTTGTAAGTTCAGACACCTTTCTGTCGGAAAAGATGACTAGGGAATTCTTCAATCTCGATGGGCATCTCCGCTGGCATAGGGACACGAGCGAGGCGGTGCCATTTGCATCTTGTGAACTGGAGTGGATTCGGGTGGACCCGGGCGGGACGTGACGTCAGCAAACGCGGTCTCTTCCTTGCGTTCCGATTGGCTGGCGACGAACGGAAATTCTTTCCGCGCGCGAAGAAAAGTCAGTATATACCGGGCCGTTAGCGCGCGCGCTGATCGCCGGATATTTTCAAGATTCGCAAGTGTGAACCTCATGCGCTAATTCGCTTTATCGAGTATGGTCAGTCGGGACTGGACACCGTAATGCGCCAAAGCGGAGAACTGCTGCAATATGGGCTCCACTGCACCGTTTGCCCTATACGCTATATGCTTCGGGATGAAATTATTAACGAAGTTGACGACGAGCTTAGAATTGCGAGAATCCTATTGCACGCCTATCGTGCGAAAAAAAGAAAAAGTCGGGTCTATACCATCTTCGCCAGATAACCGTGGCAGACGCCGAAGTGACTGTAAAAAGAACCCGTCTCACGCCGGATGTTATAATCTTAAAAGTAAACGGTGTGCCTCTCTTGGCTCACCTGCTTTTCAACCTGTAAGTTATACTAACAGCCGTTTTGTACCAAATGCCCCCCCCCCCCCTTTAGAAAAAAAAAAAGAATAATAAATAAAATAAAGTCGCATTGTTGAACGCTTAGTTCCCGGTCAAATGTAGCGCTAGCGTTCTAGACCAGATGCCAAAGTTTGAGAACCGAACCGTTCGTTACCTTATTCAAAAGCTATAAGCAATTTTGGGAAATTTTCAGTGGAACATGGTGGCCGGCAAACTCCACGAATATACGTGGGTCTGAATGGCGCAGACTGCCCTGGAACGGGTCCCATCTTGCAATTGAAAGTTTCAGAAAATCAAATCACTTATGACCTTTGAACGAGGTAACGGTTCGTCCCGAGACTTAGGAGGCATCTGGTCCAGACCACAAGCGCTACATTTGTCCCGAGCCTGGGCGTTAGGCGATACGTAGTTTATTTTTGCTGTAAAAAACAAAAACAACATAAAAACGCTGTAATTGGTTGTCGGGAACACGGTGTATATTGGATGGTCAGTGTAACACGTATACACTACACGTCGTTTCCGCAATGTCGGTTTTGATCTTGAGCTTCGTAACCGACGGCGCTTTTCGTGTGCCCACGTGCGTCAACGCGAGAGGGAGCCGGCATGCTCGGAGCGTGAACATTCGTCGTCGTCTCCCTCGGGGCAGCGCCAGCTTTCGAAAGGGACAGCGCTGCGGCGTGGTTTGATTCGGGAGACGCAGACCGCAGAGTTTGGCCGAGGCTGGAGGGGACGGCGGGGGGCCGCGAGCCTGAAATTCGAACCCCGCATGATGGATGACCTTCCGAGAGGGAGAGGGGGGAGGTCTTCGGTCTTCCGGTGTCCGGCATTGGACACTCCCGGGGCCACTCTTTCATCTTCCTTCTTCACTAGCCGCTGTCTCCATGGCCACACTTGTTGTTTTTGCTCCTTTCGCGCCCGAGGTTTTTCCGCGAATCTCCCCGATAGCGCTACGTGATTTTCGTGGTTTTCACCGCGCTGTTTTTCTTTTCTTTTTTTTGTTTGTGTATTTTGCTACTGTTTTTGAAATAATTTAAAGTGCTTATTTATTTTTATTTCCCTACCGGGTTTCGAAGTTGGCGCGCCATATTTTCTCGTTTTCGGTGCACGAAAATGGGTCGAGGATCGATGCGATTCTGCGGGAGCGATTTCTAGCGGGGGCAGAACAAACAGCAAACAAACAAATCATCCCTTTCTATTTCTTTATTTTTTTTTTTTTTTTTTTTTGTCCGCGCCACGCGGGCGTGGGACGACAGGGGGGAGGCGTTGCAGGCTCCGGCCATTCCGAAAGGCGCGGTGCACAGACCGTTAACTTCGAGAGACCGCGAAAAAGGCGGGGAGAGTCCAGCTCTGCGAAGACAGATATCCGACAATGGGAAGTCGGCGGAATGCAAAGGCGAAAGGTTCGTGTCTTCCTCGGGTCGGATCTCACCGGAATTAGTGTGTCGTGCTGATTCGCCGTATTGGGTACGCTCGAAGACCTTCGCTTGTAGCCGATAAGTGAGAACACTCCCAGGTGTCACTGAGGGTATACTACACCTTGATGCGCTTGCAACACCATTGATTAGCCTTTCTGTAATATAGGTTCAGCCAGTGAGGGGGGAGATTGGTGCCGTGCGTCGATGTGGCAGAAAAGACGTCCAAATCTTTTGCCTTTGCAACGTCTCGCTTTAGTCCCTGCCTGTCTGTGAAACCCTAAATATAACTGAAAATGGATAGTTGTATGAATACACCGTACAACTTCACTGCAGACACGATGACAAAATTATCTGCGCCGCGAGCATCTTCGAAGCGTGTTTGCTTCAGCGTGTCTGGAGACAGTTTGTCTGTGTCCCTGATGCACGGGAGAACCACGGACCTGACAGTGTGTTGCACACTATCTCTCGTGTTAAGTATTAATAGTGTGGCCGCGGTGTAGGAAGAGCCCCCGAACAAGGCGACGGAATGAGGCAGAAAAAGTAACACTGAGACGGCCAGCCTAGTATATTGATACCCAGTGGATGAAGCGGTAGCGAGTCGACATTTGACACTATTAGATTTGGCAGACCGAACGTTCTATCCTTGAGTCACTGGCTCGGGGGACTCGGTGGACCGGCGTCGTTCCCAAGTCTCTGGCCGCTCATCCTGTTTCGTCTGGTTCGCTCGTACCGCGCGTGTAGGTATAAACGTCAAACAGTGGTCGTGATGTCAGCACGCAGTTTCACTACGAGTAGAAAAGAAAGCGAAACAGTGAAGTTACAGTGGCATTAATCGCGGAATCGACTCTTCATTACCGTGCCAACCAAGGTGATGAGTAAACCATGCATGGATACGTTCTGGTCTGTCTTATGACGCCTCGCTTCGAGGTCCACCCAGTCAACGTCGGAGAACCCTAAATGGCCGACTATGTAGAACAGGAAAAACATTCGAGCTGTTCCACGTATGAGAGTCGACAAAAAAAGGTCTAGACGGAGAGTAATATCCTTTACACCATTCTTCTTCCCTGACGTCACGACGCGGCGGTGGCGCTGCTGTCGGCGCATGCGCAGTGTCCACACCCGTGTGGGCAAACGCAGGCCTTGTTTGTAAACCAGCATGGAACTGTACAGAGCTCATTTGAGACGCAGCGGCTCGCTCAAAGTGTACGAAAAAAAAAAAAAAAAAAAAAAAAAAAAACGATCGGTGTGGTATACGCGAGACAGGCGAAGACAGCGATTCCGGATTCTCTTTGTGTACGCGATCCTTGCTCTCTTTATTTTCAGCAGAGCCCACCACGATCTC